TATCATCATTCAAATGGCTCTGAGCTGAGCTCTTCACATTATTTGAGGTTATTTGTGTGTACGTGATCAGCCCTGTGCAGCTGTTCTGGGAATGTCAGCTCTGAAGTACAACAGGCATGATCCAGCATATCCCTATCCATGGAAACATTGCCATGGGGAGAGGCTTGGAGCTTGGACCTGCTGTCATGAGAAGGAAAGAAGAGTTTATTTTCTGTTTTACTGTCCTTATTCTTCTGTATTTCTGCCCAGAAGAAATGGGAGTTCCCAAGGAGCCAGAAGGATTCCACATGCCAGTGCTCCTTTCCCTCTCATTATCATACACTCGCAATCAAACTCTAATTTTTGAAATAAAAAAACCTGCAGGATTCTTTATTGGGACTATTAAACCTTCAATCTTCATTATTTAGGATGGCTACTTACCTTTTACTCAATGAAGCCATAATGCAACTGCTCCTATAAAAACTATTGAAATGGCTACTGTGGCAGTGAGTAGATTTTCCTCCGTGTAAAATAATCTTCTGTGAGTAAGACATAACTATCATTCACATTAATTAGGCAGCCATATAATGGGGTGTTCAATAGCTATTGCATCATTTAAATTCTTCAGTGAGCACCTCAGCCACCCAAGAACTATCCAGCTGAACATTTCTGAGTCCATAATTTTGAAATAATCCTTTAGAGGAGGAATATGCACGGCAGAGTGTTGCAGACAATTTCACCAAAAAAACCCCACCCCACATTCATTTTATTCAGATTTATGGGATTATTTTAACATTTACAAGAAGCATAATCCTATTTTTCCCCCTCCCTCCCAGAATAATGGTGCCATAAAGTGGAGTCTATTTTGGGGCTGATACTGTGTGTACACTAGAGAATGTCCAGGGAGATTGTTGTCAGAGAGGTGTGTGGCACATGGACTCACACGTACAACAAAAATGCTTCTCTAAACATTGTGCTAAGAGCCAGGGGCCCTGGAGCCATGAGGCTGTGCTGAGAAGCCCTGACTGATGCACCAGGGAGGTGGTGGATTCACCTGGAGGTCTTTAAGATGAGACTGGATGTGGCACTTAGTGCCATGGTCTAGTAACCAGGGTAGGGTTGGACTTGATGATCTTTTCCAACCTGGTTGATTCTATGATTCTATGAGTGCAGTCATGCTTGAGGTTTTGTTTTTGAACTCTTTTGCCTTTAACAAGCTTAAACATTTACATTCAATTTTGGTTATTGATTTAAAATTTTTGAGATGAAGACAAAGTGATCAAATATTCAAAGCCTTTGATATGAATATTGTCATTAATGTTCTATGTTATTTTATGGTTTTGTATCTTTTCAGAATAGAATCATAGAATTTAGGGGTTGGAAGGGACCTTATAGATCATCCAGCCCCAACCCCCTGCCCTGGGCAGGGACACCTCCTCACTAGCTCAGGTTGCTCAAGGCTCATCCAGCCTGGATTGAACACCACCAGGGTCGGGGCAGCCACCACGTCCCTGGGCAACCTGGGACAGTGTCTCACCACCCTTAGAGTAAAAAACCTTTTCCTCACATCCAACCTAGACTTTCCTTCCTTCAGTTTGAACCCATTCCCCCTTGTCCTATCATTGCAGTTCCTAACACAGAGTCCCTCTCTGCTCCTTGTAGGCCCTTCAGATATTGAAAAGTTGCTCTGAGGTCTCCACGAAGTCCTTTGCCATGCACCCATTGCCATGCAGGACCAAGGGAATGCTGTAGCATGACAGGCTTTGTAAATCAGGTTTGTGTTTTTGTCTAACAGTGTGGATGAAGGTGAGCATTTGTTACAGAGGTCAACCCCTCTGCTCTGCTCACCAAGGCTAACGAGCAAGCTAACGAGCTCACCTGGGGTGCAGGGAGGCAGCACAGCCAGGGTAAGGGGCACAGGGGCTAGTCTGTCAAAATACTCAGGTGTTTTCAATATCAGGAGTACTGGTCTGGAGTTCTGGTGTTGCTAAGGAGACCAGATGGGTATTTGTCTCAGCTGTGGAGGTGCAGAAGCCAGGCCTGATACAGCTGTTACTATTTGGGCTATCAGGGACCTTTTATCCTGCTGGCACTGCTCAAACCTCATGTGGTGTGCAGGCAGGAAATGGGGCTGTAGGAGCCAGAAGGGAGAGCTCATGGATTGCTGAAGCTTTGCATTTGCATCACTTATGATAAGATCACTGCAAAGAGAGATTACTTAGGGAAAATCTAGTGCGTGCTGAGAGAGGAGTGTGAACAGCTGGACCTGTGGATCTAACAGTGCAGTGTGAAGAGCTCGGGGACTGATGGTAAGGTTACCAGAACATTTTTTTTTGTTAGAAAACCTGTTTGTGCGTGGTTTGTGGACTTGAAACTGGGAAGTGGGCACACATAACTGCTCTGGAAAGGGGCTGAGGCATTGCCCTGTTTAGACGAATTCAGTGCCATCCTGGCTTTGAGAAAACACTGCTGCTCTTTCCTGAAAGCATGGGCTGGATCAGAATTTTCTGCTCCTCTGAAACATTGGCTGGCTTGAATATATAAAATTAACATCAGCTGCTTGTTGCTCTTGTTGGTGATTTAATATGAGTTTCTCAAGGAGATTCACAGAAGGTTTTGGGGGTTTCCACTGTATTGCTGTGTAATCCATCTCTTAGAGGAAGTATAAAAAAAGCCCTAAATAGAATATTCTGTGTGTTTTGTTGGATGTGACTTGGCTTTAATTTGAAACACTTTCTACAACGATTATTCTGAGGCTTCAAACAGAAATAATGGGTGGTTTTTTGTTTTTTAATTCTTGCTGAAGTGTTCAACATTCAGTAACTGGATTGTTTACAACTGTTTTGGTTCATATTGGATATAAATATATATATACACAGTAAGAGGAAAG